TCGCCGTGCTCCGCGGCCTTGCCCGCGGGGCTGTGCCACGGCATGTCCTGCAGCAGCTCCACGCACTGCTTGGCGAAGGGGCTGGCCCGGCACAGGCCTTGGCCGGCAGCTTTGCCCGCTTCTCGTTTGGGCTCCTTGGAGGCCAGGGAAACGGAGGCCGCCGCCTTGCTGCTCCCGTGAGCCAGCGGGCCCTGCTTCTTGCTCAGCTCCGGCACCGAGGCGGCCGTCTTGTCGTTCCACGAGCCAGCGCTCTGCTGCCCGTTGGAGAGCTTGGCCGCGTCCTGGCTCTTGGGCTTGTCATCGCCGTCTCTTCGCAGCTCATTCTCTTTATTTGCTGTAGCCTTGTGGAAGGCATCCAAGGGAAGCCCTGCAGCTCCCGCCTTCCGCTCGGGCTGCGGCTCCTTCGCGGACGAACCTCTGCTGCCACCAACTTCCGGCTTGCACAGAATTCGAGGCAACGTTTTGTCTTTCTCTCTCTTTGTTCCCGGGGCTTTAGCAGAAGCAGGTGCAGAGTCAACAGCAAATAAAGTATTTTCATTCCGTTCTTTCTGGGCAAAACTCTTTGCAGTCTGAATTTGAGCATTTCCTCCCGGCGTGGGTAGGACGTTATCGAAGCAGAGCACTCGCCTGTGACTTTCACTGGGTCTCGAATTGGAGCTCATGGTCTCTACGGGCACAATAAGCAAGTTCTCCTCTGCCTTCCTTCCTACTTCTGCACTGGTCACCTTGTCTGAATTCCCAGTCCTGAAAATGAGGTGAAAAGACTTCAGCAATGTATTTATTCTTGTTGTGAAAGGCTATTTCAGCTGGCTGCAAGCTCCTCCTCCACCAAACACCCATTTAAAGCTGTCTCCATTTGGCAAGTATAAACATTTGATCAACATACAAAGACTAGGGACACAGAGTAACAACTGCAGAAAGTTCAGATAAGACCAACGAGGAGGGCACAAAGGTACGAAATGGTACAAAGAACAGTTAGACCAAGACTCTTCACCTTAGGGGAGGGCCTTTTCCAGGCTGAAATGCAACAGAGCTCTAGAGAAAAATAAAATAAAGTGGGAAGTATTCTTCAAGAATACTTCCAACTAAAATTAGTGTTAAGTTCAAAACAAAACAAAGCAGTTCAGACACAGCCCATAATTAAGTTTCAAATTTTCTGCCTCGAGATACT